GCAAAGATTGTCACTGGATGTCACTGGATCAAGTACCTCCTGCAACCACTTCTTTAGTGCAGAAAAGGAAGGGCCATTGTCTCCTATAGTGGAGACCGTATCCACATATTTCAATGTTTGGGTTAGGACTTTCAGTTGCAGATACTTGATGACTGCCATATCGATAGTTCTGTCCATTTTTGGTGATTTCAATGGGTAGGTTCACAAGATTGTCTGGTACAAATACAATAATAACACTTCAGCTGCAGGTCTTATGTCTATGATTCATTCAATGATTCTACTTGTGGTGGTAAAAGCCAATTAAATCTCTCCTCTTCAGATCTAGAACTTTTCAGCCAGCTGTTGTATTATAGTGTATCCACACAAAGAAAAATTAACACAGAGAAAAATCATTATTACATAATAAATATATAAAATGACAATAAATGATGTGGTATTCATATTTCAATCAGAAGACGGAGAAAAATGGGGTTTAAGTCCACTCGACAGAAACTAGGTATTTTGGCATTAACACATGGTCCAATTTTATTTCAATAATTTGCTTGTGCGTATGGGTCATTAGCAATGGAAGGAAACTGGAGTTCGCAGAGAAAACCCTCGAAGGATGAACGTGCTACCCTACTCCTTGCCACGTACAACTGGGGATTTGAAACCACACCAGTTCACTAAATGGTAGACCTTATGATACAGCGCGCACATACTAACCATTCACCCCCCCCCCCCCTTATTTCAAACAACAAAATTAAATGTATTGATACAAATATATATCTATGGATACAAATATATCTGTACAAATGTATATAGATAGAATAATCGTATAGATAAAGAAAAATTAAAATCCCCGGCTACAATCCAACCAGGGAATAGCGGGAGTGTAGACGATCTGGGACCTAGCTCTCCAAACAAATTACGCTCCTGAAGCAAAAAGAAAGAGTAAATCGGTGCTGCCTGTTGTGTGTATTATATGTAAAAAACGTGACAGATTTGTCACTGTTGGAGAAAATAGGAAGAAGGGTGTATTTACACAGACTCAGACCCAAACAGGCTCAGGTAGGCCTAATGTTAATATTATGTTACTTACTAAATTTATAATTATTACTAATAAATATTAAATATATTCATCCTACAGTTTTTAATTATTGTGTTGTTGTTTTTGTTGTAAATGGAATCAGAAGTGCTACTGCAATCACTGTAAAATTGTTATGAAGCTAGCCAGTAAAGCCCTTTACCCCATTTGTTGATTTGGCACAGTCATTGGTTAAAGTGTTGCACATTTGCTTGCACAAGGGATGAAACATAGAGAAGTTAACTTGTTTTTTATTTTCTTGGCCTACTTGTAGGTGCCTTGCTAAGACGATCTGTCTCTAGACCATTTCCGCTCACACAAAGGATCTGAACTAAACCGCATGCCAGAGTTGACCAGCCAGGTACATGTACATGTAGGCCTCAAAGTGACATTCCCTCCCCCACCCTTGAGCACAAACAACATTCAACGCTATATGGTGTATAATTTGTTTGCAAATTTGTTTGTAGGCCAACTGTTGAAAGCTGCTGAATTGAAAGAGGATGAAGATATTTTAAGGCATATCAGAGGGCAAGATTGTGTGGCCATTGAGGTCAGATATCACCAAAAATGTTATAGGCAATATACATGTACTGAATTTCTTAGACAGTTATCAGAAAGGTAAATATTTGTGATGTTTTTTTTATTTGTATTCTCCGCCTTCTTGCCACTGGTATTATTCAAATAAAACTGAACCATGGGTGAGTCCTGAAATTACTATGTTTTTGTCCAATGGACGTTAAACCGCAATTCTCCTCTCTATCTCTCCTTGTACTGCTAATGCCTTCCTGTCTTCATTAGCTGGTTTCTGCATGAAAATAAGATGTTAACCCCTGTGTAAGTGTCTTTTTCCTCTGTTGTACGAAATTAATGAGAGTAAACCAAGCTCCAGAATTTTGTTTTAATTGTGTACATGTATATGTTTATTTATATTTTTCAGCAAAGATGACTAGCCCTCCGTCGAATATTAAACCACATACAATATATTCTGTGAAGATGTCATAAGAGAAAGAATCATAAATGGCCAGCAAAGTTGTCTTGTACAGAGAGAGAGAGAAAGAGAAATGGGGTTTAACGTCCACTCAACACAAACTAGATCATTTTGGGACTAACATACGGTTTCAATTTTATTTCAATAATTCGCTTGCGCGTATGGGTCTTTAGCAGTGAGAGGAAACCGGAGTGCCCGGAGGAAACCCACGAGGTTGAGAAAACGCCTCTATCTCCATGCCACATACGCTCACACCTGGGATCAAAGCCACAGCCACATCCCAACCCCCCTTTCTTGTACAGACCTGTGCATGTGTAGTCAATGTGAAAATGAAAAAAAAACTGTTAAAGAGACCGAATTTGATGTTAATACATTTAGTGACAGTGATGATGATAATGAAGATTAACTTTGATGACATTTGATGTGCAGAGTAACTGTTTAATTTTGATTTTCAATGATTGTTTCACTTTAATAAATAATTTCACAACTGTTCATCCTGTTTTCTAACCTTTCCCTTCATTCCAGCCCAGATACACAATTATTTTTTTTAACTTATATCTACATGTATGTTTGTAATTTGACCATTAATCATATCCGAAATAGTAGTTCACAGCTACATGTACAGTTGTAAAAATACTGTAGTGGCTAATTGAAAGGGAACATGTATGTGGGTTTAGAATGTTTATCTTAGTGGAAAAAAATCATGTGGTTCAATGCTTATAAAGTGCTACTGATCTCCATTATTTCAAAAGCATATCACTCAACTACTGTCAAACATATCCCCTGGCTAGAATATGCTACAAATCGACTCTAGCATGTTCCATACAAGCGATAATTTCTGAGCAAACATCCAACAACCAACCCTAACAGGCCCTTGAGATCCAACAAACAAAATAATTATTGGGCTTGTTTGCCCACACCTGGTCTTATGATTCATACAAGACCTGATAGTCTATCAATTACAGGCATTTGACAGAAAGGGAGATAATTCTTTTTTACCGTTAATGGATTTCCACAATTCTTTATTCACCCATGACATTTGTGTTTTGAGCATTTTTATTTACATCAAAATCTGTCCAATAAACTGTTCATTGCCAAGGATGAAGGCATGAGGTGTTTTACCAACTATTTAATTTTATGTCAACTTCAGAATTGTTAGTACACAAATAGCATTTATTTGACAATTTTGACGAATTTCATCTGGCCCTAAATCAATAAATTGAAAACATTTTGCTTGGAACTCCCAGATTTTGTCTTCCTGGCATCATAAGCTTTCCAAAAATGTATAGTTTTTCTTTTATGGAAGACCGTGTAGCGGAGTTGTGTTTCTAAGCTAGCTAGAAATTTTGGCTGCAGGCCTACACCTCCCAAGCTAAATTTCCCTCATGTCATCCTGTATAGCAAAGGCATATGCCTGTCTTAATTAACCCAGTACTAAACACAATTTACTTGTTTAATTTTTCCAGCATTTTTCAGGATAGCTGATGGGATGCGGGTCAAGTTATGCCACTTGTCTATTTAATTATTTACAAGTGAAAAATCGAATTAACTTCACCAAATTTTTACTCATTATAATGATTTTTTTTTTCTGTTCATATTATTTCTATGACATGTGACAGTGACTGTGAATATGAAAGCTTTAATATCTGCTTAGCAGATCTAGTTGTTATTTTTTTTTTGTGTTTTGTCCACAAATCGGATTTCTCAGAATCTAACCATAGGATCGTTCTGAAACTTTTACCTATCCCCCCAAAAATGGGTGGTGGCTGTTGATTAAATATATTTTCAAAACGTTTTACGAATCCGAAATCACCGAATTTTACGAAGGAATGCATTTGACCTACAATGCTGTAACTTTGTGACTATTTGACCTATTTTACTAATTCTTTTTTCTTTGAGTATCTTGAAACATTTACTTCAAATCTGCAATTTCGGATTTTGGCATTTCGAAAATTCGTCGCTGTCATTTCGAACCGGAAGTTATTACCAATTTGACAACTTCTTTAATAGTTGTGCGATTTTCGTGAAATTTAGAATGTTAGTAGATCTTGCCAATGCGACTTCAATGATGTCCTTGGAAATTTTCTAAATTATCTCCCCTTGGTGAAATTAAGGATCAAAGTTTTCAAAAAAATCGTCGAAATATAGGTCAGAATGACCTAAAAAAAAAATTCGATACTAGACAAGTAATTACTGATTCGTACACAAAATATGGAGTTTGTCGATCGAACCGGAAGTGCCACCATCTTTAAACGTGAAAAATCAAAAAGGCTTTTTTGCTATTTTACTTACAGACTCGGGCGTCATATTTTCGGAATCCTAGAAGGAATGTCTAAAAATCTATCGGATCAGAATTTTAATTTCGGTCACGTGATGGTCACCATTTTGAATTGAAAATGAAAAATAGAAGCAATTTGAAGGGCCGGGACTTTGGAACACAAGAACTCTCCTTCTAATTAAGCTAGAATGTTCAAACTTGGTGTAGGCGTTCACTAGGTCAATGTCATGATTGAGTTCAAAGATGAGCATTTTTTGCCTAGGGTAAGCAGAGATAAGCAAGCTGATTTGTTGATTCTTTAGGGCACGATGACATTGGTTATAATGAATGGAGGGCGATGAAACTCTTGTCAATCGAGAGGCTAATAGCTGGCCTGTTGTGTGAAATCATTGTATCATTTTTTGAAAATGTCCGGGGTAGCCGAAAAAAGGAGATCGAAATCCAAAAAGTCGTATTTTTACGATTTGGGGCATTTTTAGAGGTCGTGTAAAGTAAAATAAAGCATGCATATACATATATTATTGATATTAAATATATCATATAAAAAACTAAACAATGAATCAGCTGTCATTGACAGATTTTATATTATAAGCATGGTCAGTGGAAGGTCAGCGTATTGTCTAACTTGAACTCACTGACTCCGTAACATTATTGTGGGTGTGGTATAAGCTGAATTTGATGAGATGCACATATCTCGTATGACTATTTGGTACTTACAGTGTTAGACTTTGTCGTAACGTAAATCAAATTTACGCTGTATTATTCATTACCAAGGATTTAGAAAGGAACGAGAACAATTATTTACAAAATCTCGCTGGGATAAATTCCGTGAATGTGCCCATGAATGGCTAAAACTTGATGGGCGAGCGAAATGGATAGCTGAACAGGCGACTTCGGGTGATATAATCAAACAAGGAATTTATCGACGCGCCAAAAGATACTGGATTTCACCCAACATGCTACAGGCCTTTTACAGACAAATTCCGAATTGGGTCTGCCCGTAATCGTATAGATAAAGAAAAATTAAAATCCCCGGCTACAATCCAACCAGGGAATAGCGGGAGTGTAGACGATCTGGGACCTAGCTCTCCAAACAAATTACGCTCCTGAAGCAAAAAGAAAGAGTAAATCGGTGCTGCCTGTTGTGTGTATTATATGTAAAAAACGTGACAGATTTGTCACTGTTGGAGAAAATAGGAAGAAGGATGTATTAACACAGACTCAGACCCAAACAGGCTCAGGTAGGCCTAATGTTAATATTATGTTACTTACTAAATTTATAATTATTACTAATAAATATTAAATATATTCATCCTACAGTTTTTAATTATTGTGTTGTTGTTTTTGTTGTAAATGGAATCAGAAGTGCTACTGCAATCACTGTAAAATTGTTATGAAGCTAGCCATTAAAGCCCTTTACCCCATTTGTTGATTTGGCACAGTCATTGGTTAAAGTGTTGCACATTTGCTTGCACAAGGGATGAAACATAGAGAAGTTAACTTGTTTTTTATTTTCTTGGCCCACTTGTAGGTGCCTTGCTAAGACGATCTGTCTCTAGACCATTTCCGCTCACACAAAGGATCTGAACTAAACCGCATGCCAGAGTTGACCAGCCAGGTACATGTACATGTAGGCCTCAAAGTGACATTCCCTCCCCCACCCTTGAGCACAAACAACATTCAACGCTATATGGTGTATAATTTGTTTGCAAATTTGTTTGTAGGCCAACTGTTGAAAGCTGCTGAATTGAAAGAGGATGAAGATATTTTAAGGCATATCAGAGGGCAAGATTGTGTGGCCATTGAGGTCAGATATCACCAAAAATGTTATAGGCAATATACATGTACTGAATTTCTTAGACAGTTATCAGAAAGGTAAATATTTGTGATGTTTTTTTTATTTGTATTCTCCGCCTTCTTGCCACTGGTATTATTCAAATAAAACTGAACCATGGGTGAGTCCTGAAATTACTATGTTTTTGTCCAGTGGACGTTAAACCGCAATTCTCCTCTCTATCTCTCCTTGTACTGCTAATGCCTTCCTGTCTTCATTAGCTGGTTTCTGCATGAAAATAAGATGTTAACCCCTGTTTAAGTGTCTTTTTCCTCTGTTGTACGAAATTAATGAGAGTAAACCAAGCTCCAGAATTTTGTTTTAATTGTGTACATGTATATGTTTATTTATATTTTTCAGCAAAGATGACTAGCCCTCCGTCGAATATTAAACCACATACAATATATTCTGTGAAGATGTCATAAGAGAAAGAATCATAAATGGCCAGCAAAGTTGTCTTGTACAGAGAGAGAGAGAGAGAGAGAAATGGGGTTTAACGTCCACTCAACACAAACTAGGTCATTTTGGGACTAACATACGGTTTCAATTTTATTTCAATAATTCGCTTGCGCGTATGGGTCTTTAGCAGTGAGAGGAAACCGGAGTGCCCGGAGGAAACCCACGAGGTTGAGAAGACGCCTCTATCTCCATGCCACATACGCTCACACCTGGGATCAAAGCCACAGCCACAAGCCAGAGGTGACCGACCAGCCACAAGCCAGAGGTGACCGACCAGCTAGAGGTCGAAGCGCGGCACTCTAGGCCATCCCAACCCCCCTTTCTTGTACAGACCTGTGCATGTGTAGTCAATGTGAAAATGAAAAAAAAACTGTTAAAGAGACCGAATTTGATGTTAATACATTTAGTGACAGTGATGATGATAATGAAGATTAACTTTGATGACATTTGATGTGCAGAGTAACTGTTTAATTTTGATTTTCAATGATTGTTTCACTTTAATAAATAATTTCACAACTGTTCATCCTGTTTTCTAACCTTTCCCTTCATTCCAGCCCAGATACACAATTATTTTTTTAAACTTATATCTACATGTATGTTTGTAATTTGACCATTAATCATATCCGAAATAGTAGTTCACAGCTACATTACAGTTGTAAAAATACTGTAGTGGCTAATTGAAAGGGAACATGTATGTGGGTTTAGAATGTTTATCTTAGTGGAAAAAAAAATCATGTGGTTCAATGCTTATAAAGTGCTACTGATCTCCATTATTTCAAAAGCATATCACTCAACTACTGTCAAACATATCCCCTGGCTAGAATATGCTACAAATCGTCTCTAGCATGTTCCATACAAGCGATAATTTCTGAGCAAACATCCAACAACCAACCCTAACAGGCCCTTGAGATCCAACAAACAAAATAATTATTGGGCTTGTTTGCCCACACCTGGTCTTATGATTCATACAAGACCTGATAGTCTATCAATTACAGGCATTTGACAGAAAGGGAGATAATTCTTTTTTACCGTTAATGGATTTCCACAATTCTTTATTCACCCATGACATTTGTGTTTTGAGCATTTTTATTTACATCAAAATCTGTCCAATAAACTGTTCATTGCCAAGGATGAAGGCATGAGGTGTTTTACCAACTATTTAATTTTATGTCAACTTCAGAATTGTTAGTACACAAATAGCATTTATTTGACAATTTTGACGAATTTCATCTGGCCCTAAATCAATAAATTGCAAACATTTTGCTTGGAACTCCCAGATTTTGTCTTCCTCGCATCATAAGCTTTCCAAAAATGTATAGTTTTTCTTTTATGGAAGACCGTGTAGCGGAGTTGTGTTTCTAAGCTAGCTAGAAATTTTGGCTGCAGGCCTACACCTCCCAAGCTAAATTTCCCTCATGTCATCCTGTATAGCAAAGGCATATGCCTGTCTTAATTAACCCAGTACTAAACACAATTTACTTGTTTAATTTTTCCAGCATTTTTCAGGATAGCTGATGGGATGCGGGTCAAGTTATGCCACTTGTCTATTTAATTATTTACCAGTGAAAAATCGAATTAACTTCACCAAATTTTTACTCATTATAATGATTTTTTTTTTCTGTTCATATTATTTCTATGACATGTGACAGTGACTGTGAATATGAAAGCTTTAATATCTGCTTAGCAGATCTAGTTATTGTTATTTTTTTTTTGTGTTTTGTCCACAAATCGGATTTCTCAGAATCTAACCATAGGATCGTTCTGAAACTTTTACCTATCCCCCCAAAAATGGGTGGTGGCTGTTGATTAAATATATTTTCAAAACGTTTTACGAATCCGAAATCACCGAATTTTACGAAGGAATGCATTTGACCTACAATGCTGTAACTCTGTGACTATTTGACCTATTTTACTAATTCTTTTTTCTTTGAGTATCTTGAAACATTTACTTCAAATCTGCAATTTCGGATTTTGGCATTTCGAAAATTCGTCGCTGTCATTTCGAACCGGAAGTTATTACCAATTTGACAACTTCTTTAATAGTTGTGCGATTTTCGTGAAATTTAGAATGTTAGTAGATCTTGCCAATGCGACTTCAATGATGTCCATGAAAATTTTCTAAATTATCTCCCCTTGGTGAATTAAGGATCAAAGTTTTCAAAAAAATCGACGAAATATAGGTCAGATTGCCTTGAAATTTTTTTTCTGTACTAGCTAAGACAGTACTGATGAGTACACAAAATATGGAGTTTGTCGAGCAAACCGGAAGTGCCACCATCTCAAAATGTGAAAAGTCCATACGGCTTTTGCAATATTTTACTTAAAGACCTAAGAGTTACATTTTCTGAATGCTTGAAGGAAAGCCTAAAAATCTATCGGTTTAGAATTTTGATTTAGGTCAACTGATGGACGCCATTTTGAAATGAAAATGAAAATTAGTGAAAAATCCACATTTATGGGCTTGAAAACATACACAATTGGTCGTGGCTTAGAGAATCTGTCTCCTATTACCGAAATTAATACATTGGAGGATAGCCTGGATCATGGTCGAATGTTTGGTATTTGAATATTTCAAAAATTCGAATTTCTCCTTTGATGTTTTCCGTGCCGACAAGGTTGTTTTCGAGTTTAGCTGGTTTTGATTTCGCGCATGCGCTACACAGGAACCAACGGTACCATGAGTACTAAATTCCGGCGAGCAACTTTTCACGTTGGTACCTAGGCACCCTGAAAATTTCAAGGTGATACCTGCATTCGTTCAAGTCGTTTGTTCTTGTCACCTGCCTTTCGTCGCCCGTCCAACCTGTGTATTTTTTCAGGATCACCCGGTTTCCCCCCACTGCTAGACCCCTACGCGCAAGCGAATTATTGAAATAAAATTGAACCATACGTTAGTCCCGAAATGACCTAGTTTGTGTCGAGTGGTCGATCAACCCCATTTCGCTCTCTCAATTTTAGCACTCCTAACTCTAAAACTAAATGCAAGGAACGGGCCTATTTACAGAGGTCACAATTTTAACCTACATGCACACCTACATGATATACATATTATTATAATCCCTATGGGATATTTTAATTATTTACTGTTATAATATGAATTATCACTTATTCCCCGTTAAATAAATATCGGTCACCGGGTGCAGCTGTACAACTTCAAGGACCTTGGCCTCAAGTGCATGGGACCAACTCTACATTTTCTGAAATGTCAATAAAAGCCCTGGAATGATTTCATTTAAAAAAAATAATCAGAAAGTAAATCTAGTTTTATTTATATGCTATTTGTTGCCAGAAAATATATTTTGTTACGAGTCTAATTCAAATTTAAAAATAAACAATGGGTCTGAGGCATATTTTATTGATATATAGAAATTAATGCAGTGTTCTCATTATGTGATAAAAGAGTGCCAGAAATGTCTCGAAATTCAGCCATTTGTGTATTTAGTATATCAAGTATATGCGTGTATTACAAAGCTCTGATTTGTGTGATTTGTGTACACACCGCTCCCCCCCCCCCCCCTCCTCGTGTCACTATCATGTACATATCAATTCTGCTGCCAACCCACCCACGCGAACATGACTAAATTATGAAACATTGTCTAGTCGTTTGTATGTTACGACAAAACGAGGCCAGCGTGGCTCATTTGCTGCAGAACGGAAGGCCTTGCAAGGATAAGTGTCTAGTCGTTTGGATGGTACGAAAACCCGAGGTCAAAGTGGTTCCCCGTTGGCAGTGGTGAAGTATGGAAGGCCTAGCAAGGATCTGTGTCTAGTCGTTTCGATGGGACGAAAAACGCCCGTCCCCTCGTCCATGGTACAAGGATTAGTGCCTAGTCGCTTGGATGGTATGCAAAACAGAGGTCCCCGTTCTCTCCCTTTGTCTGTGGTTCTTGACCGAAGGCCCGACAACTAACTTTGCATGCAGTTTTTTAGGTAGGACGAAAAATCGAAATCCTGTGTGCATATTGGCGTGCACGAAAAATAACCCTTTGCATTTGGAATTTTATGCACCCACCCCACCCTCGAACAACGCTTAACATAACATTTTGTTTTCACTACCTACATTGTAAAATTTGTTTGATTTCAGATGACTTAGCCCCGGTTTTTCACAGTGAAAGATTTTGATGAAACTTGACATGCATGTTTATAACCCAAAGATATGGTTCCTTTCGATATTTGCGCATATCGAATCGTAACTTCGTGAATTATGGTCCCTGATTGTAAGAAAAATCACTTTATATTTCGCGTGTTCTCTATCTATCTCTCGGAAATGGAATATGGAAATACACAAGCTAGCTAGTGTATTACAGGTTGGTGGTGGTGGGGATGAGGTCTTCTATTTGCAATGATTTTTTGACTACAAAATATACGCTCTAACTCATTACTCAAACTACAGCAAAAAAAAAAGCGGAACGGAAACCCGATTTTATATATTCTTACAATAGCAACGCACTTCGGGATTAACTTAGAAATGGTTCCACTACTGATGTCTTCCGCCTTACTCCTGCCACAGTAGTGGCTTGTCCTACGGTGTTCCTTTCCGCAAGGTTTTTTTTAGTCAAATGACTACAAAAAGGTTACTGGCCTATGTATAGCTCCCTTAATTTACACATAAACTGACCTAAAACTGCACTGCACATATAATAAACCAATTCCCATTGAAATAAAGGTGAAGCCGTACCGCATAATTATATGATTTGATGAAACCCAACTGCTACCTGAAGTTTCTCGCCTATCGAAGTTATAATATCCGCCGGTGTCATGGCGGCTCGCACATTATAAGAATCATTGCTTTGAAAATGTAGAACGCATTAACACAAAGAAAAACTGATGGGTAACTAGTTTAGTGGTCCAGTCTTCACTATAATTTGTGATAGAATTACTTATTTAAAAAAAACTGAATGATGTAAAAATAAAAATGGTTGGAGTGCCCAAGTTTAGATTTGTCGTTGATTTCATAAAGATGTTAGGATATAGAACATTAAATACTGTGTGATTCAACATGGCGGCCGAGGGGTTTAATATGATATAAGTACGAAATACATGTACATGTAGTACCAAATGGTTTATATGTATGAGAGTCAAGGTTTGGACTAAATGTCTTGGCGAAGTAGGGGGCGACTAGCATGTGCCTCTCTTTAGTGGACCGATGTGAGATTGCCCATTGTATTAACTGGACGGGTAGGCCTATTCACCTTCAGTTATGTGTCAATGTCAAATAAGCGGCTTCGTATC